TGGATTCCTGGCATTCCTTCTGTCGTTCCCGCACGCTGGAGTGGCGGGAAGCTTCCACGGTGCTTCAGGTTTTCCTGGGGGGCGAGCTTGAGTACCTGAATGAGTGCTTGTTTGCCCTGCCCTTCCCCGCGATGTGGGCATTATTCAGGTTCCCACCCTTTCGGCGGCGCTTGTTGCGGAGGACCTGCTCGCCCGGGGCCTTTTGGCTTCGGCCTTGTGGTTCTTTTCCCTCCTGGAGCTGTCCTCGGATTGGCTCGTGGAGGATGTGAGGACGCTTGGGTCCGTCCCGGGGTCCGGCACCTTGTCCTCGGCTGCGCGTTCGTCGGCTGCCTTGTTGAAGCTGTTCTCGCCTATTTTGCGGGATGCGGTTTCCCTGTTTTATGCTTCCCGTCTCGCATGTTGGCAGGCGGTGCTGGGTTCCTCTGTGGAATCTGCTTGGGCTCTGGCTCTTAGGCGCTCTTCACCTTTTTGTCCTCTTCTGTTTGAGGAGTCGGCCGTGGCGCAGTTTATTCAGGCTGTGTCGGTGGCTTGTTGTCCGATGTTGAACTTGTTAGTTTTCCAGGGGTCTCGGGGTGGGTCTTCCAGGAAGGGTCGTGCCAGGGCTCGGGGTTCCTCTCGTCGTGGTAGGCCTCTGGTGTCAGGTTTGGGTTCGGCTCCTCCTGCGGACCCTCCCTCGTCTGGTTAGCGTGGTGTTCGCTCTGTACGGGATTCTGGGTCTCATAAGGATCGCCGGCCCTTTCGCGGTTTGCCCCATTGACGGGGTGATGGGGGGGCGGCTTGCACTGTTCGCCCGCACCTGGTCCCACGATCTGGGGGCCTTTCGGGTCGTGTCTCGCGGCCTGCGGGGGCATTGGGTGGCCCCTCCCCCCTTGGGGGGGTCGGGGTTGGCATGGCAGGTTTCTTCCCCTGCGCTCTGTCGAGTCGTCTTGGAGTGGGTACGCTTGGGCATCGTCAAAACGATGTCGTCCCTCAGATGGGTTTCCCGTCTGTTTCTGGTTCCGAAACGGGACTGCATGAACCTGCGGTTCATTCTGGACTTGTCCCGTCTGAACCCCTGGGTTCATTGTCCCTCCTTTCGGATGACTATGCTGTCTCAGGTTCGGCTCCTCTTGGAGCCGGGCGCTTGGATGGTGTCCCTGGACCTCCGGGACGCTTTTTGGCATGTCCCGATTCATCCACGGTTCAGGGACTGGCTCGGTTTTGTTGTGGGGCGTCTGCGTTACCGCTTTCGTTGTCTCCCGTTCGGGTTGAACCTGGCACCTCGTGTGTTCACGCGCCTTACACGGGTTGTGGTGGCTTGTTTGCGTCTCCTAGTTTGCGGGTGTTGGCCTACCTCGACGACTGGCTGGTTTGGGCTCCCAGCCGTTCAGCTTGCTTGCTAGCCAGGGATTTGGTTCTTTCCCAGCTCGCCGAGTTCGGGTTCTTGGTGAATGGGAGAAAGTCCCATTTGTTTCCCTCTCAGGTTCGGACTTGGCTGGGTCTCGTTTGGGACTCTCGAACCGCCTCCTTGTCTCTCCCTCCGGAGTCTCTCCTGCGGCTGCGGTCCCGCCTTCGTCTGTTTCTGGTGGGCCCTCGGGTCACCCGGCGGTTGCTCGAGGTGCTGTGCAGGAGCCTGAACTTCGCGATGGAGGTCTACCCGCCGGGTCGGGTTTGGCTTCGTCGGCTGTTCTGGTTCCTTCAAGGTCCCCCCTTCCGCCTCTCTCGCGATCGCAGAGTTTGACCCCCGGGGGACTTGCGTCGATTGCTGCGTCACCGGCTTCCTCTTCAGGTTTTTCGGGGTTCAGTGCCTTGGCGCCTACCCGAGCCCTCGCTCGATGTGTACACGGATGCGTCGTCTCTCGGCTGGGGTTTTGTGACCAGTGCTCACCAGGCCAGCCAGGGGCGTTGGGATCCGTCCTTCCGTCGAGCTCACAGCACGGTGCGGGAGTTCGCGGCTGTGTGGTTTGCTCTGGGGAGGATTCGGCTGGCCCGCGGATCAACGATTCGGCTCTATTCGGACTGCTCTCCGGTGGTTCATTGCCTGAACCATGGGGGTTCGATGCGGTCCTTGTCTCTCTGGGGTTGGTCGCTTCGGGTGACTCGTCTGCTGAGTTCTCAGGGTTTGGCTCTCCTGGCGGTTCACGTACAGAACGTGTCCAATGTCTTGGCTGACGCCCTGTCTCGCTTCGTTTCCCTCTCCACGGAGTGGACGGTCGATGACGAGTCCTTCCATTGGCTTTGCCAGACGTTCGGGCGCCCCGAGGTGGACCTCTTCGCGTCGGCGTGATCGCAGTGCCTTCCCGTTTATGCGACGCCCTTCCCCGATCGCGAAGCCATTGGGGTCGACGCCTTTCGGCTAGACTGGTCGAGGTGGGGGTTCCTGTACCTCTTTTCCCCAGTTCGGCTGTTGCTCCAGGTCCTGACTCGCTTAGAGACTTACAGGGGATAGTTGTCCTTCTGGCCCCTTGGTGGCCGGCCCAGCCTTGGTTTCAGGCGCTGGTTGCTCGTTGTCCGAACCCGAAGGTTTTCCCGCGGCTCCGCCTCTTTCAGCAGATCGGGCCGGTACGTCACGTGGCTGGTTCGATCTTCTCCTCAAGTCTTCGCGTATGGTTATTTTGACTCGAGTCTATCATCATCTCTATGGTGATCAGGTGGCCTCCTTGTTGGTGTCCCACCTGAGGGCTTCTTCTCGGTTGCAGTATGAAGTTTCCTGGCGGTCCTGCTGTTTCTTTTTGCGTCTTCGTCGTGTTAGTTCCTTGTCTGTTCGGGTGGTCTTGTCCTTCCTCTCGTGGTTGTTTCAGGACCATCATCTTATGCCTAACACTGTCGTCTCGTATCGTGCGGCGCTGACGGAGCCGCTTCAGCTTGCCTTCAGTATCGATGTTACGTCTGCGCCGTTTCGCAAGCTGCCTCGTGCATCGTTTCACCTCCAGCCTGCTCATGCGCCGCCTGAGCCGTCCTGGTCTTTGGACAGAGTGCTCACTTTCCTTTCGTCTCCTCGTTTTGTTGTGGCCCCTTCGGTCCAGGATTGTTTTTCCAAGGCACTTTTCTTGTTGGCTTTGGCCTCTGGGGGTCGGGTAGGGGAGCTTCATGCTCTCCTCCGGCGCAGGGGTTTCTGCTCTTTTGGTCGTGGTGATTGTTTTGTTCGCTTGCAACCGTCTCCTTCTTTTCTGGTGAAGAATGAGACTGCTGCGTTCCAGAGGGGTCCATGGGTGGTTGATGCTTGGTTGGTCAAGCCGGGGGTGCATCATGTTTTGTATCCGGTTGCTCTGCTTTGCCGTTATTTGCGTGCCACGGCTTCTGTGTCCGGGGACGCGCTGTGGGTTGATCCGGTTTCCCTTCTTCCCTGTTCGCGGGTTCGGGTCTCCCAGGTTGTCCGCAGGGTTATTAGGTCCAGCCAGCCTGCAGTCTATCCCCGTGCCCATGACGTTCGTAAGTTCGCGGCTCTTGCTGCCGTCTTTGGGAATATGTCTTGGTCTGATGTTCTGGCGCAGGGATTTTGGCGGTCGAACAGGCTCCTGGCTGCTCGTTACCTTGTGAATGTCCCTGGGCCCCGTCGGGCCTGTGTTGCTTTGGGTCGGCGGTTGCAGCCAGTTGTCTCGGCTTCGAGTTGAGGAGTGAGCGACGACCGCCTCCCGGGTAAGTCCCTCTTTTTCCGTCTATGGGTAGTTAGCTCCGGGGAGCCGACGGGGCTACCCCCCAGAAATCCAGCGTTGAATGTAATGGAACGCCATTTTCTGGGTGAGTCCCGGAGGCTTCCCGGTATCCCTCTCTCCCTCCCGGTCGGCGTTTTTTTTTTTGCGTTTTTGACATCCAGCCTCAAGAACTGAGGTGTGGATAGCCGGCGTGAGAGGTCTGGGGCTCCCCCTTCCCCCTCCCAGGGAGGGGGAAGCTGCGCAGACAGCGGCGCGGCGGCCTGTGACGTCACACTAGTTTGCTTGTTTTCTTTTGGGGAGTTCTATCCACTAGTTCGGCTTTTGGTAGCAATTTTAACCAGAATAGGGGTTTGTTATGAGGCGCTTACCTTTCTGGGTGCCAGTTCTGGTCGATGGCAGACATAGAAATGCTTCCAACCACACGGGGGCTTCTATAGGCCATTGCTCCCCTTGCCTCTCTGAGGGGGCCTGGTTTTGGCCGTGGTCCCTGGTAGGCCTAAGAACTCCATGCACATGACTGATGCCAAAGTCTAACATTAGCATATCAGCCTGGGATAGCTCCGGGGAGCCTCCGGGACTCACCCAGAAAATGGCGTTTCATTACATTCAACGCTGGTTTTTTTGCCACACTTCCCTACCCTATTGCAACTAAAATATGCCACCTACGATTTGTTATTTTTTCCGTGATCAGGGAACAAAAATGAACATTTCTATAAGACGAAAGAATTTTTTGGATTTTTTTTTTGTTGCGCCTGTGGGTGTGAATTCCATTTGGGCCCTAGCGGTTTGAGGGTTAATGATGATAGATTCAGGGTTGTCTCCGGAGCTCACTCTGAAACTGGCATTTCATTACATTCTATGATGGTTTTTACACATAATATTAGAGGAGGAACATTCTCACACTGACACAGTGCACTGTGCATGTGCAGAACTAGCCACTGTGCTGCCAAGGACTTCAAATGTCTTTACCTTACAAACCAATACAGTTTCAACTATTCACTGTTATTAGCACTAACACATTCTTCCAAAAAAGGCTCTTTCCTTACAATGAGGCAGTGAAATTTGTGATGGGAAAGCATAATCGTTAGCAAAGGCAAAGTTGTCAAAACAAACCCAATAGTGGCATCCAGTTGAGCAAACACCGGATTACAGTAAAATAGAGGTCATTAAATTGAGTAGATACTGTATATTAGAATATTTCAGATAAACCACTGTGTGGTGTTGTAAAATAAGTCAGCTTTAAAGTTGGATTTATTGTCTAAAAAAAATGTATTATGCACTCCATAACATAGTGTAAGATTCTCGTAACTATTAAGATCTTATATTTATATTTAGTATTAATCAATGATTTTGTATCAATTCCAGAGAAACTGAAGGTAAGGATAGTACAAAAATGAGTGAAAAGGAGATTAAAGAGTTTATAATTCAGAGTTTCATGACACCTACAAATTGTGAGTATTGCTGAGCATGTACTCTATGTTCTACTAATCATTGTCCCTATTAGTAAAGTGTTTAACTAATGCACTGCATTAAAATATGACACCCCTGTGGTCCGCAAAAAATAATTTATTTTCCCAAAAAAATTTTCTCTTTTATTGTTAAAATGTAGTCTCTGATCATGGGAAACTAAAATAGAATTTTGCATGTGACATACTTTAGCCATGATGGAGCCTGGAGCCTGGAGCCTAGCCTCGTAGCCTGGTGGATAGCGCGCAGGATTCGTAATTCTGTGGCGCGGGTTCGATTCCCGCACGAGGCAGAAACAAATGGGCAAAGTTTCTTTCACCCTGAATGCCCCTGTTACCTAGCAGTAAATAGGTACCTGGGAGTTAGTCATGGGCTGCTTCCTGGGGGTGGAGGCCTGGTCGAGGACTGGGCCGCGGGGACACTAAAAAGCCCCAAAATCATCTCAAGATAACCTCATCTCAAGATGGAGCTGAGAAGTTCAGTAAATTATGGGCGCTGAGTGATGAGGCCCTCAGGAACACTCGATCCTGCCACCCCGTGGGGCAGCAGTTGCCGTGAATATCATTTTTCACAATTATTTCAATGTCTCTTTTCTTTTCTGTTTTTTTTCTGTAATATTATTCAGTGTGTGTGGAACATCACTTTGCTCAAAATTATGGGGCTCATACATTTGAGATGTACAGTATATAATATACTAAAATCGATCAGTGTTTTATGCTTTTATTACAATATATACACACATTGTATATAACTATCTACATTTTTGTGCGCCATAATGAACCACAAAGATCGTGTGTTGAGAGTTTATTTACACAGTACAAGAAACCAAGGTCACAGCCGAGTGTGGCAATGTCTGCCTCAAATACATTTCTACATAATTATTTCAGTGTATGTGAATGGTTTTATATCTAGTTTCCTGGGGGAGCCGACAGGGCTCCCTGAAACTAACGGACTGATATCCTTCATATTAGTCTTGAGCATCACTTACTAGAGTCTGTATGCCTTTCGGGAACCACGAACCAGAACCTGGTTCCCTCATAGAAGTGCAGGGAGCAATGGCTATATGAAACACTCCACTGTTTGAGAGTATCATCATCTCGGCCATCAACCGGGGGTATCACCCAGAAATATCGGCGAACCAATACAAGCAAGCCCCAACTGGTAAAATACTGTATTGCAACCCAAGACCGAACAGAGGATAATAACTCCCCCAAGATAAAACAGCAAACAAGCTAATGTCCACTTCACCAGTGTACCTGCTCGTTAGTGACCCCCTTCTCCCAGGAGGGGAGATGGGGACCTGCCTACCCCAAGCGCTAACACTGGCAGTTCGTCAACTGATGTCCTATAGAGCAGACGTTACCTATGGCTTCAATTTCCTGCTGGATTTTACTCTTTGCGGTTGTGCTGAATTTTACTCTGCATTTGTGCTGGATTTTGGGATTATTGTGCGGTGGCCAGGTGTTCTAAGAAGTACTCGGGCTGCATACATCAAGGGTGATTTTTCCTAGGCGCCCGGTAGGTACTGTCCTTGCATGTTCAGGGTTATCTTCCCTGGGACATTTGGGATTGCATTTCCGTTGAGGTTGGTGTCTTTTGTCATTAACCTCGCGAACTCACTGTCGGCGCCATTGCTAGTTGGCTGCACACGGATTTGTTCCCGGAAAAACTCACAATTCTGAGCACCCATCAGCTCAATTCATTGTGGTTCTATGAGGAAGAATACATCAGTACTCCAAGACCCAGATATTATCTTGTTTTGAAGGAAACAATTCCGATTTAGTCTACAATTGAGTGAGAAACAACGTTGTTGATTACCTGCTGTCCAGCTGACTGGTATTCTGCGCAACACAGTATGCAGGTGACCCAAACTCTCGTACTGCACTTTTTCTGGGGGGAGCCCCGTCGGCTCCCCGGAGCTATTCGGGCTGAATGGATTTGTATAACTTTCTGACATCAGTCAATGCATGGAGTTCTTGCCTACGGGGGACCACGAGCCAGAACCTGGCCCCCCGCTAGAGAGTCGCGAGGAGCAATGGCTTATAGAGACCCCCCTTATGATTGGGAGCATTTTATGTCTGCCATCGACCGGGATAGGCCCAGGAAAGGTAGGCGCCCCAAAACAAACCCCTATTCTGATAAACTATTGCGATCGAAGACCGAACTGGTGGACAGAACTCCCCAAACGAAAATTAGCAAACAAGCATGATGTCATCATGTCGCCTCGTCACTGTCTGCTCTAGCCCTCTCCCCCCCTCCCCGGGAGGGGGAAGGGGGGAGCCCCAGACCCCACCGTCAGCGAGTTCTTAGGCTGATGGGATCTGGTGCAGTCGTGCCTCTGGCTCCAGTTTTCCATTGCAGTTCTGTGCCTTGTGGTGTGAGCTGTCCCTTCCGGTGGTGTGGGGCCAGGAGTGATATTCCACAGTGCTCGGGCTGCATGCGCCTAGGGTCACCTTCCCTAGGTACCCTGTAAGTACTGCCCTTGGGGCTTAGGGCCAACTTCCCTGGGTCACCTTGGGGTCTACCTCTGCTGTGCCGTGTACTGCTCGGTAATTGGCTGCCCTTGGGGTTAGCTGGGGTTTTTTCTTGCTCTTGTTTGTCTCTGGATAGGGGGTAGTTTTTGTCACTGGCAGGGGCGCGGGGTACTGCACAGCTAGTTGTCACCATTAACAGCGGGGACAGCTCTGTTCTGTCCGGGTACGTTGTCCTCTTGCAGGGTTTTTCTTTTGTTTTTGTTTTCTGCCTGGTGGGGGGTCTGCCTGTTGGTCCCCCATCGCTGTTCCTGGGGTATATCTATATCTTTATTTCTCCATTTTGTGTTGGTGGTCCACCCCGCTTGGCCCCTGTGAGTGTACACGTCCCGGGGGTTTAGCTATAGCAGTTTGGTAGTTTTGGGTGCCGGTTCGCATTACCCTGCCTGGGCTTCCCTTGGCGGGTTACCAAGGCTAAGGGCCCTGGAAAACCCCACGGGGGCTACGTGGTCCGATGGATGTGACCCCTGAGTCCCCCCTCGCATCCTGTTAGTTTGAAGGTTGCTCTGTCCCCTTGTCTCAGGGGGGACACTCACCGGTTTTTCCTCCGCCATGCTGCCTCTTGGGTCGGTGACTGTTTTGACTCGGAGACGTGCGACATGTGTTATCTGTACATACTCCATTTCACCCAGGCTACTGTGCCTGATATGCGGGTGAGGGCAGCTGAGGTGTTGCATGCTCGCTTTAGGTTGCTGCAACGCGCTAGGTTGGTTGCTTTCCCGCATGCCCCGAGATTGCCCCGTTTTGGTTATAGGGACCCGGACTTGCGGGTGGGAGTCGCTTCGGGTATGGTTCTGTCTGCCCTTCCAAGTCCTTCCTCTTCTGTTGCTCTTTCGGTCCCCCCTCCCCCTCCTTGCTACCGGTTCCTAAACGTCTGAGGGTTTCGAAACCGGGGCTGGGTTTAGTTGGCTGTAAGACTCGGGCGATCTCGAGGGTGTCCCCTACTGGGGCGGTGGCAGAGGCATTCGAGCCTGGTCCTTCTGCCGGAGCTTCTGGGTCTGGCCAGTGGACCACCTTTGTTCCTGCTTTTTCGGCTGCTCTCACCTTTTCTTTGGGGGTGGGGGCTCAGGAGGACAGCTCGGCCCCAGGCCCTCTGGGCAAGGTTCCTGGGGTTGGGGAGGGGTTGGCTTAGGGGCCTTGGGCTCCATTGGACCCCGCCTGGGTTTTTCTACCCTCTGAGCGCGCCTTAGTGTTACAAGGCAGAGGAGTTCTCTTTCGCTCCCTCCGCGTACAAATTGGATTTAGTGTCCCAGGGTTCGATTCCGTGATCCCGTGGGTTCTTCGGTTCTGTCTTTCCAGAAGTTTCTAGCTTCCCATGTTTCGTCTTCGGAGGTGCGGGAGGCCTTAGCGGCTTACCTCCAACGTGACCCGGATTACGCCTTCATTATCGATCCGCGTTCCTTCGTGTACGGATCCCCTGGTTTGTGCTGGTTTCATTATGAAGTCCCGGAGTCGTCCTGGTTGGCAGACTGTCCTCTCTTTTCATTGGAGGCATGGCACACGTTCTGTGGGTCCCGCGCGCTTGAGTGGCGAGAGGTTTCTACGGCGTTGCAGGTTTTCCTGGGGGGTGGCGACTTCGAGCATCTTAATGCTTGTTTGTTCGCCCCTGCCCTTCCATGGGATGTTGGTGTCATGCAGCTTCACGTTCAGGTGCCAATCCTTCTGGTTGCGGAGGATTTGCGGACTCGTGGCCTGCTTGCTTCGGCTCTGTGTTTCTTTTCCCTCCTTGAGCTGTCCTTGGATTGGCTCGAGTTGGATGTGGGAGCGTTTGGGGCTCCTGCCGGGTTCGGTGCGCTGCGGGCATTGCCTGCTTGTTGAAGCTCTTTGCGCCCATCCTGCATGATGCGGTTTTGCGGTTCTGTGCTTCTCGCCTTGCGTGTCGTCAGGCGGTGCTGGCTTCTTCCTTGGAGTCTGCCAGGGCCCTGGCTCTTCGTTTGTCTTCGCCCTTTTGTCCGTTGCTGTTTGCAGAGTTTGCTGTGGTGCAGTATCTGCAAGCGGCCTCAGTCAGTTGTTGGCCAATGTCTGAGTTGTTGTTGCTCTGAGGGGCTCATGGGGGGCCTTCCCGGAAGGGTCATGCCAGGGCTAATGGGTCTTTTCGTCGGGGTAGGCCTTTGGTGCCGGATTTGGGGCTGGCGGCGCCTTCGGTTCCAGCTGTTGCTAGATGGCGTGGGGATCGTCCTGTTCGCTGCTTAGGTTCTCACAAGGTGTGTCTGCCCTTTCGCGGTTCGTCCCATTGACGGGGCGATGGGGCTCGCCCAGATTGCTCATGCCTTGTCCCACAATTCGTGGGCTTTTCGGGTCGTTTTGTGCGGCCTGTGATGGCATTGGGTGGCTCTTCCTCCCTCGGGGGGGTTCGGGGCTTGTGGGGCAGGGCTCTT